AAAGAACTCTTAGAATGTGTTCAATATCTCCACTCATCTGATCCACCCGAAGCTATGGTTGACATCTCAATGAATTGGGTTTTATAGTTACCATCACTTGATTTATTATTATTTTCGCTTTGATTTTTTGTTAACATTTTTGCGTATTCTTTCAAATCTATTGTTTTATAAGTTATTTGGCATTCATTGGCGTAAAAGTCGATATAATTTTTATAATTTGTTTCAATTAATTTGTGGTCATTTACTATTTTAAATATTTTATCGCTTATTAAAATACAAATGAATTCATTTTTATTATAAAACCATGAATTTATTTGTTGTATATTTTGAATGTGATGTTCAGATAGTATTTGTTTTGGTGTGCATTCAATTATTTCATTATATTTGCCGCAAAAATATAAACCATTTGTAGTCAAAATATATGTTGCAAATTGTGTGCAACTGATTGTCTTTACATTATTAATGTTTGCTATCAATTGGGGTTTAAATTGTCTCAATTTAAAATTACTATTATTACCCCAATTAAACACATGTCCATCAGATGTAATGGCAAACGAAAAGTCATTACAACAATAAATGGATTTTATTTTATAATTATTAGTGAATTTTATTTCAATCGGTGTATAAATATCTTCGCCATTTTCACAACCAATTGGCTTCCAATTATTCACACCCCAGGTGTAGACCCGGCCATCACTTGTGAGGGCCACTGTATGACATGTGTCACAACTTATTTGTATAATCTTTTTATTATTAAAATATGATATTATTTCTGGTGTGCAATAAGAAAACCGATTTCCATCACCTCGACCCAATTGCCCAGCGTAATTACACCCGAACCCATATATAATGTTCCTATCATTTACTGCTAACACAAAGTTGCATCCATTGACAAAGTATTGTATGTTTTGATGACATAATTGTGGTATCAGTTTTGGTGATAGTATAGGACTGTTGTGTCCAAAACCCAGACATCCATAGCTATTACTACCCAAACCATAAACATTATCAGTGTTTGAAACAAATAATATATTATATTTTTTATAACAATCAATAAAAACATGTAATTTTGTGATATTTTCTTTAATATTTGTTGGAATTTTACCACAAATTGTAATTTGTTTAAATAATTCACACATTTCTATAATATTCACAATTTTATTAAAACAATAATAACTATTAATATATAAAAACCTTATTAAAAATATTTAATTATTAAGAAATAATTTTTGAAAATGCATAAAATGCATAATATTTTATGTTTTAATAAAAAATCGTCGTGGTAATAAACACTTTAATAAAACGTTTTGATAGCAAATGTTATAATCAGTAGAAACTAATGAAAATAAAACAAAGAATTTCATACAATGTGTGATAATAACTATAGTTTTTGATAAACTATAATATTTATAAATGTCACTAAATGTTAACTTGTTGTAAAATATAGTGTATCGATATAATACACATAATCTCAATTGTTACGTCAACTCATATATTATTTAACTTATAACTCGCTTTCGGGTTGACCTACGCGTGCGGTTAAAGTCACTCATCATCGGCCCGACGTCCGGGTAGTCTATTGACTCCGGGGCCGATAGTGTCCGTAATGTCGACCGAACTCACGGTTTATGTTTGACTTTTATTGTATTCAAATAAATATTTCCTTTCATTAATTGACTATCAATTTATTTAATAAAGAATTTTCATTAATATGTTGTTTTGTATTATTGTATAAAATCTGAGTATGGTAAAGTTTTAATATCCAAAAATGTATGGCCAGTAATCTGGAACAGTAGTCATATTATAGAAAATTAATTTTTCAAATTTTATTTGGAAATTGCCTGCAGCTAGATTAATTGATGGAGTCTTAATATGTATAATAAATTTCATATAACCTTAATTAATTTAATTGAAATTTTTTATTTAAAAATGATACTTTATTTAAATTTTATGCACAATTACACACAAATCGTGTGTTTATTATGTGATTTACATCTTTCAATTGACTGTTTGTATGTTTTGTAAGGTTTTGATTTAGAATAGGGACAATTGGGTCAATAAAGTTCAGTTTATTTGAGAACTGTATATACAGTATATGTGTTTAACATTATGATAGTGAAAATAGGGTTAACTTATTTTAAATATATCATAGCTTACAATTTTAGTGAATTAATTTCACAAAAAAATAAAATATAAATCCTAGGTAATATTTCACTCTACTTTTACATTATTATGTAAGTATTAATTATAAAATGTAATTTCGAGCATGATGCATGACATAAACCCACTGCGTGGAAAATAATCTAATTTATATAATCCAATTTATTAAAATTGTAATAATAATACACAATATAATTACAAAAATATTTAAGAAATTCATTGTATAAATATTATCAATGGGAGGCCTCTCTATAGGAAGGTCAGTATGAGTGGACACATCTGTGTTATTGTTAATGATAGGCCTCTCCATAAGAGAGACCATATGTGTGGACACTTCTCTGTTATTTAATTTACACATTAAAAAGTCACAGAAAAATTTGTTTTCATTGGATTTAAGTTTATTTAATATACCATTAAATTCTTCATTGTTTGCCAGAATTAGTTGTTTATCGATAGACCAGTTGTTAAAGTCCTTTAATACCTGACTACTAGTCGGTCGGTTGTCAACCAATCCGTGAGACATTAGTCCTATTACTTGATATAATTTGTGGAAATTGGCTGAAAATGTGGTCAAACCGTACACTTCCTGTGGTTTTTCACTTAAAATAAAAATCAGATTTTTATTAAAAAGTTAAATAATGAATTGTATTATAAATGTCATACATATTGAATAAATCAAATAAATGTTGCGAAATGACTGCCAGACTATAAATGTCTACTTTAGTGGTGTAACGGCTCTGAAACACTTCGGGTGCCATATATTGTGGGGATCCTATGTTTAAGGTGTGGCTCATGGATGTCATGCCGTGATGTGTAGCCACACCAAAGTCACCGAGTTTTACAAACCGGTTATTATTAGTATTGTTGACAATTAAAATGTTTGTAGGTTTTAAGTCCCGGTGAATGACCGGTGGATTTAAGTCATGAATGTATTGCAAACATTGCAAGAGTTCCCGAAGTATTTCACACGAAATGAAATACTCGTATAAATTCATTGCTTCCGACAATTGTCTGCCAAATACAACGGATTTGTCTTTGATTACATCTCCGAGTGTTTGACAGCAATACTCCATATGAATGAACACATGTTTCTCTTCAGACCACGAGTTGTAATATTTAACCACAAAATCGGAGTTCAGTTTTGATAATATTTTCACTTCTTTTATAATTTTTTGTTTCTCTTCTTCACTAAAATCTGTAAAAATATTTTTGTATAATAGTTATTATATTTGTACAACATACTAATCCCCGTCACCTGAACCCGTCGACTCCTAGTCGTCGATCGTTTAAACATTTATTTTATTTCGAATTAAACGTTAAGTGCGAAAATAATATTTGTATTTTCCTATTTCAAATAATTTTCGAGTTATTCGATATCGAAATATTTTGTTGAAAATTTTAAAATAATTTAATTTATTGATACAGATAAATGCGCATAAAAACGGAATTACTTGATCCGGTATAAAATTAAAAATAATTAATGGATTTATCTCAACTAAATTTTAAAAGTATTACTTATATTAATTATAAAAGTCTAAAAAATTTTAATAATTTACCTATACCCATTCGTTAGATATAAATTAATAACTGTAGTAAAATTTACCCGCGTTTTATCACTACCCCAGATTTTGGAAATAATTGAGAAAAAAATCTTTTTAATTCAATATTTTGATTATATATTTATCGTAAAATCATTTCAATAGTTTAGTTGTGTTATAAAAAAATATTTTAATCAACTTAAATGAATTTTCTTGACCTCACATAACCGCTATTTTTGATAAAGTTTACCGATTTATAAGTTCGGGACCGGTTCTAAACAGGTTGGCCAAATTTGATCACGCTTAAACTTTTGTAAATTGTCACCATATATTGGTAGAATTATTTAATTAATTAATGTTTGGTTAAATTTATCGGGAACAGTATTCGAGTTAAATTCAGTAGTTATTTTTAATTTTACACTGAATTAAATGATTCCGGTTTTATACGCATTGAACTTTACGATGTATGAATACGATGTAGATTTAGCTTAGGCAATCTTTTTACTAAATGACCTTCAACTACATTGAGAGCATAAATATTATTTAGTAAGGAGCCAAATGCTGATTAGAGCTGTGATTTGAGACACTTCTTTGATCATCACTAAAAATTATTCGAGATAGGAAAATAAAATCTCGTTCCTAACAAAACATTTAATTCATGTGTAAAACATAATATGCATGTATAAACGATCGACGAGTACGGGTGGCGGGGGTTAAACTGTTGTCCATTGTATTTACCCCCAAATTGTACTCTTTTAACGGCATAGATCTTATCATCCAATCTATGCTTTACTTTAAATACAGTCCCAAAACCACCCGAACCTATGGCTGACATCTCTATGAATTGGGTTTTATAGTTATCATCACTTGAATTATCATTATTATCTTTTAAATCTATTGTTTTATAAGTTATTCTTAATTTATTGGCGTAAAAGTCGATATAATTTTTATAATTTGTTTCAATTAATTTGTGTTCATTTGATATTTTAAATATTTTATCGTTTATTAAAACACAAATGAATTCATTCTTATTAATACATGAATTAATTTGTTGTATATTTTGAATGTGATGTTCAGATAGTATTGGTTTCGGTATGTTTTCAATGGTTTCATTATATTTGCCGCAAAAATATAAACCATTTGATGTCATAAAATATGTTGCATACTGTGTGCAACTGATTGTCTTTACATTATTAAAATTTGATATCAATCGGGGTCTCCATACTTCTTTATCGTATATATTGTGTCCCAATTGATGGGCTCTATTATTACCCCAACTAAACACAGATCCATCGGATGTGACGGCAAATGAAGACCAATTACAGCAATAAATGGATTGTATTTTATAATTATTAGCGAATTGTATTTCAACTGGTTTATTATATAATATAGCGTGAAAACCAATTTGCCCCCAATGATTCGCACCCCAGGCAAATACACGGCCATCACTTGTGAGGGCCAGTGTATGAGCTGCACCACAACTTATTTTTATAATATTTTCATTTTTAAAACATGTTATTATCTCTGGCTTTAAATAATAAGACCAAAATGTTGTTCTACCCCGTCCTAATTGTCCCCACTCATTACTCCCAAACCCATATATAATACTCATATCATTCACTGCTAACACAAAATCCAATCCATTGACAAAGTATTGTATGTTTTGATGACATAATTGTGTTATTATTTCTGGTGATAGTATAGGACTGTTGTGTCCAAAACCCAGACATCCATAACTATTATTACCGAAACCATAGACAATTTCATTGTTTGTAACAAATAATACACTATATTTTTCATCACGATCAATAAAAATATGTAATTTTGTGATATTCTCTATAATATTTGTGGAAATTTCATCACAAATAGTAAATCTTTCTAATAATTCACACATTTCTATAACAATCACGAATTTTTTAAAAACAATACAAACTATTAATATATAAAAACTATATTAAAAACTTTTAATTATTGATAAATAATTTTTGAAAATATATTAAATAAATAATATTTGTCTATTTTAATGAAAAATCTATTATATTCGTTGTGTTAATAAACACTTCAATACAACCTTTTGATAGCAAATGTTATAATCAGCCAAACCTAATGGAAATAAAACAAAGAATTTCATAAAATGTGTGATAATAACTATAGTTTTGTTTATAAACTAAACTACTTCATATTATTTTTAAATGTCACTAAATGTTAAATGATTGTAAAGTATAACTTCTAATATTATTATCTAACATTATAGTTCACTTGTTACGTCTACTCATATATTGGCAAACTTAGGCCTTCGTGTTGACCTCCAAGTGCGGTTCCAAATAGAAATAATTATTCTGTTATTTATTATAATTATTCTTATTATACTAATTTCCAATTTAATATTGTGTACATTATGTTTAACAATACATAAAATACAATAATTAGTTCAATAATAAATGCAATGATTGCAATGAAATATCCAGTGATTAACAGCGAGAATGCATTTCTAGACATATCGGCGATTGCTATGTCATTATATATGTTATCAATTGTATTATGTATAATTTTATTAATATTTTTGTTCTTTTTGTGTTTTAAAACATTTATGTATCTCATTATTATGGACTTAATCATTTGATGATGGTAATCTAAACCACATTCATTTGCACGTTTATACCTAGTTTGAAAAATTTGCATAGTTAATTTATGAATTATTCGAATAAGCTTGATACAACTAACATGTTCATTAAATGATGTTTAAATTTAAATTGTTTAGAATTAGCAAATATAAAAAATGTAAAATCGAGAAAATATTTGCTTTTGCTAATAGAGTATCGATTGCCATACAATCGATTGTATTTTAATTGGAAATCGTTCAATATATCAGAGTTGGGCAGTAATGCAATGTTTCCGGCAATTAATTCACGTAATAATATCTCATCATTTAAATAATCTATAAAACGATATGTTTTATTCATTAATCGCTCATAATTATCATGTTTATCAATTAGTGCATGTATTGTATGGTTAAATTCGGGTAAATGTTCAATAAATACTTTCATATTAGCTTTATCAATAATTATTTGAATGCTTTTATTATTTAATATATCGTCAATTGTGTTGACTATTGGCACAGATTTTACTTTAATATAAGAGTCCAATAAATCACTGCAATATAATTGTATTATTATTACTGAACTCAACAGCCATATAGACATCAATGCAATCATTGATATTCCAGTTGTATTTATATTTAATATTTTATTAAATAAATTAAATGATTGATTAAATATTGGGCCAAATATATCAATTACAGCATGATGCAAATTTCTTAAACCCGGGTATTTGTATTTAATTAATGCAACGATGAGAACAGCAAATATAATTATAATTAGCCACACCTATTAAATAACATTAAGTTGTAGCATAATTACATAATAATGTAATAACATTAAATAATTTAGGACTTATATAATTGATTCAATAAATTATTAATATTGTATGATTAATGGTATTCTAACCTGGTAATTAAATAATTTTAGTATGCCAAATAATGAAATGTCCCTGGTAGATCTTAGTCCGCTGACAACCTGGACCAAATATGACTCTTTGTAAGGAACACCAATAAATCCCAAACGCGGAAATAATGCGGCTGATACAAAATTATTAAATGACATGTGGAACTATACAAAATTTATTTATTATATTATATTTGAAGTTATTTATATATAAATATTTTAATACATTAAATTTATGTATAAGATGTACAGTAAATAATGAATAAACTTTTTAAATTTAACTTTACCTTTGTAAATGTAGTATGTACAAAGACAATTGGTAGATTTAGTTTACACAACATATTGTGAATAAATGATATAAATGTACCATACAATAATTTATCCTAAATAGTTATGCAACATTTTAATATATTTCTATTGTTATGTAAAACTATATTAAATTACTTACATTATAATGTACGATTACACTTTTCTTGGTCGTTATATTGTTGATTTAATGATTGTAATAATATTTCTTATTATACTCAATAAAAGCGATTGGTACAAGGGAAAATAATGGAACTATTTTAATTATGCTAATCATTTTAGGCAATATTTTGATCAAAGTAAAATTTATGTTGGCATTAACTACACTAGTTATACTATATTATCACTACACTAGATACATTTCAATTTTAATGTGTTATTATATATGTTATGTTACACGGTTAATTAGATTTTTATTATTATTTTATTAGGGTGGGTTTGTAAATACTTGTATATAAATAGAACAAATCCAATTAATTTAGCATCGATCAAATTTTTTGTTCTAACATACTGTATGACACAGTATTATAATTATAATATTTTATTTAATAATGTATTGTTTTATTTATATTTGTATAATGGGTGGTGCAATACAAAATATATTGTGTTTAAATATTCCTAAAAGAAAATGATTAGAACAATATTTACCATACATAATTAAATGGTCTACCAAATTCTTGTATATTTGTTTTAATTAAATAATAATAGCAGATATTAGTGTTTCACAATGTAGTTGAGACATGTGTTGTGCATTCAGTTATCAAATAAATAAATTACATTTTAATACCACAATAAAATTGGCAGAACAAACTTTTTATTTGAAAATAAATTTAAATTAGAATTTCAATTAAGTTATAATCAAATTTAAATTTACCATGAAATTAAAATTAAAGAAAATTAGTTTTCTCCAAACTGTGTGTTTTGACAACAATTTTGTATAAATTTACAATGTAATTATTGATTAGAAAAGGAGTATTAGTCCTACACAATACACAATACAAGGCCTTACACAATACTTTTGAATTGAGAATGATCCAGTTTATATGACCAAATTTATTACAATTGTAATTACAATACACAATATAATTACAAATATATTTAAGCAATTCATTGTATAAATATTATCAATGGGAGGCCTATCTATAGGACAAACAGTATGAGTGGACGCATCTGTGTTATTGTTAATGATAGGCCTCTCCATAAGAGAGACCATATGTTTGGGCACTTCTCTGTTATTTAATTTGCACATTAAAAAGTCATAGAAAAATCTATTTTCATTGGATTTAAGTTTATTTAATATACCATTAAGTTCTTCATTGTTTGCAGTAATTATCTGTTTATCGATAGACCAGTAGTTATAATCCTGTAATACCTGACCACTTGTCGGCCGGTCATCAGCCAATCCCAGAGACATTTGTTTAATTATTTGATATAATTTGTGGAAATTGGCTGAAAATGTGGTCAAACCGTACACTTCCTGTGGTTTATCACTAAAAATAAAAATTAAATTTTCATAAAAATTTATTATAAATGATAAATTGTATTAAAATTTATAAATGTCATACATATTGAATAAATCAAACAAATGATATGAAATGACTGCCAGACTATAAATGTCTACTTTAGTGGTGTATCGGCTCTGAAATATTTCGGGTGCCATATATTGTGAGGTCCCGACACTTGACGTGTGGCTCATGGATACCATGTTGTGCTCAACGGCTACACCAAAATCACATAGTTTTAAAAACCGATTATTATTAGCGATGTTTACAATTAAAACATTTGCAGGTTTTAAGTCCCGGTGAATGACCGGTGGATTCAAGTCATGGATGTATTGCAAACATTGCAAGAGTTCCCGAAGTATTTCACACGAAATGAAATACTCGTATAAATTCATTGCTTCCGACGATTGTCTGCCAAATACTATGACTTTGTCTTTGATTACATCTCCGAGTGTTTGACAGCAATACTCCATATGAATGAACACATGTTTCCCTTCAGACCACGAGTTGTAATATTTAACCACGAAATCGGAGTTAAGTTTTGATAATGTTTTCACTTCTTTTAGAACTTTTTGTTTCTCCTTTTCACTACAATCTGCAATAATATTAAAAATATAATATATATATATTTTACAAATAGTTATTATATAACTATTATATTTGATAATAATAACTAATAACTAATTATTATATTTACCTCCAAATTGTACTTTTTTAACGGCATATATCTTATCATCCAATTTATGCTTTACTTTAAATACAATCCCAAAACCACCCAAACTTATGGCTGACATCTCCATGAATTGGGTTTTATAGTTACCATTAATTGATTTATCATTATTTTCGCTTTGATTTTTTGTTAATATTTTTGCGTATTCTTTTAAATCTATTGTATTATAAGTTATTTGGCATTCATTGGCGTAAAAGTCGATGTAATTCTTATAATTTGTTTCAATTAATTTGTGTTCATTTGATATTTTAAATATTTTATCGCTTATTAAAACACAAATGAATTCATTATTATTCATAGTAAACCATGAATTTATTTGTTGTATATTTTGAATCTGATGTTCAAATATTATTGGTTTTGGTATTTTTTCAATTGTTTCATTATATTTGCCGCAAAAAAATAAACCATTTGTAGTAATAAAATATGTTGCAAATTGTGTGCAACTGATTGTCTTCACATTATTAATGTTTGCTATTAATCGAGGCTTTAATACTTTATTAATTGTTATATTGTGTCCCAATTGATGGCTATAATTATGACCCCAACTGAACACATGTCCATCAGATGTGATGGCAAATGAATACAAATGATAACAATAAATGGATTGTATTTTATAATTATTAGTGAATTTTATTTCAATCGGTGTATCAATATCTTCACGATTTCTACAACCAATTTGCCCCCAAGTATTCTTACCCCAGGCATATACGCGGCCATCACTTGTGAGGGTCAGTGTATGACTTCCACTACAATTTATTTTTGTGATATTTTTATCTTTAAAATATGATATTATCTCTGGTTTGCAATGAGAAACGCATTTTTGTTCTCGACCTAATTGTCCAGAGTTATTAAATCCAAACCCATATATAACACTCCTATCATTCAATGCTAACACAAAACCACATCCATTGACAAAGTATTGTATGTTTTGATGACATAATTCTGGTATTATTTCTGGTGATAGTATAGGACTGTTGTGTCCCAAACCCAAACATCCATAACTATTATTACCGAAACCATAAACCATATCATTGTTTGTAACGAATAATAAACTATATTTTTCATCATCTATAAAAACATGTAATTTTGTGATATTTTTAAAAATATTTGTTGGAATTGTATCACAAATTGTAAATTTTTTACTAATTCACACATTTTTACAACAATTACAATTTAAAAACATTAATAACTATTAATGCATAAAAAACTTTATTTAAAAACTTGTATAAAACAAATAATTTAAACAAAAACTAAAATACAAATAATTTTTGAAAATATAATAAATAAATAATATTTTCTTTGTTTTAATTAAAACTCTGTTGTATTCGTTGTATTAATAAACACTTTAATAGAATGTTTTGATAGCAAGTGTTATAATCAGTGAAAACTAATGGAAATAGAGAATTTTATACAATGTGTGATAATAACTATAGTTTTTTGATAAACAATAATACTTATAAATGTCACTAAATGTTATCACGTTGTATAGTAAAAGTTAACATTATTACTTTAATTTATAATCTACTCGTATATTGACCAACTTATAAAACGCCGTCGGGTTGACCGTAGAGTGCAGTGCAGAGTCGGTCATCATTGGCCCCGACGTCCGGGTAGTCCATCGACTCGGGGGCCGATGGGCGCCGATAGTGGCCGTAATGTCCGCCGAACTCGCGTTACTAAAGCTACTATTTCTATGCGTTTAATTGCATTGTATTTGTACAGTGTATGTAATGATATATTTTATATTTTATGTAATATTTTACCTGTTATATTTTATGAAAAATTGATAACTCCGTTAAAAGAAGCGTTAAAACAAACAGAATTTTATGATTGCTTATTACATATGAGACAAATAGAGTCAAACGAGCTCTAACTTTTACCTTAAGCTTATCCTTTTAATTTTATATTACATATTAGAAAGCATTTTAGAATAATTTTTATTAATTAATACAAAGTTAAAGCTTTCTATTTCATAGTAAAGTTATTTAATGTTTAATTTATTTCAAATTATGGCTTAATTAATAATATAAACCAATTAATTACAAATGCAATTATAATACAAAATATAATTACAAATAAATGGGAATAATTGGGAATATTATTTCTCTCAACGCGTAAGCTATGCATAGGTGGAGAGAAATGAGTGGACACTTCGCTATTATTTAATTTACACATTAAAAAATCATAGAAAAAAGTGTTTTCTTTACATTTTAGTGAATCTAAAACTGAATTGAATTCCTTATAATTAGTGACAACACTCTTATCAATGGACCACTCGTTATGTTTGGCCAACACTTCCCGACATTCAGGCCTTTCTCTAAACTCATAGTTCATCATTGATTGCAATGTCTTATATAAACATATTAGCGATGAATTAAACAGCGATTCTTGTCCTGAGAATGATGTCGACCTAAATATAAACCAAACAAACAGAATAACAATGTTTTTAATAATTATACCATGATACATTATAAACATATATTAATAATTTAATTTAAATATATTACACGAAAACACTTACGGCTGTAAATCTACGCTAAAGATATCTTCGCCGATTAGAGAAAGACTAAAAATATCTGATTTATGATTATATTTCCTACGAGTGTATACTTCGGGTGCGATATATCTAAAAGTGCCCACAAATGAGTGCACATATCGACTGGCAGTGTGTCGTTTGGGGTCGTGTTCTGTGGCCAAACCAAAGTCACACAGTTTTACACAACGATTGGACCTAAAGTTGTTTGTAATCAAAATGTTGTCGGGTTTGAGATCCCGATGAATGACTGGCGGATCACTTGAATGCAGATATTGAACACATTCTAAGAGTTCTTTAAATATTTCACATGAAATGTAATATTCAAACACACTATTCATGTGGTCTTCCGGTTGTCTCTCGAAGACAATGGGTTTGTCTTTAATTATAGTCTGAAGACTTTGTGAACAGAACTCCATTTGAATGAAGAGATGATTGGACTCAAGCCATGAGTTGTAATACTTTACCACATATTCTGAGTCCAGTTTTGCCAAACTTTTCACTTCTTTTAAAACCTTTTGTTTCTTTTCTTCACAAAAATCTGTGAATAAATTTAATGTTAGAAATGACATGAAATAAAACACTTACGATATTTACCGCCAAATTGTACTTTTTTAACGGCATATATCTTATCATCCAATCTATGCTTTACTTTAAATACTATCCCAAAACCACCCGAACCTATGGCTGACAACTCAATGAATTGGGTTTTATAGTTACCATCACTTGATTTATCATTATTTTCGCTTTGATTTGTTGTTAACATTTTTGCGTTTTCTTTCAAATCTATTGTGTTATAAGTTATTTGACAAACATTGGCGTAAAAGTCGATATAATTTTTATAATGTGTCTTAAATAGTTTGTGTTCATCTGATATAATAAATATTTTATCTCTTATGAAAACACAAATGAATTGATTATGATTCTTAAACCATGAAATGATTTGTTGTGTATCTTGGATGTGATGTTCAGATACTATTTGTTTCGGCGTTTTTTCAATTATTGCATTATATTTGCCACAAAAATATAAACCACTTGTAGCCAAAAAATATGTTGCATATGGTGTGCAACTGATTGTCTTTACATTATTAATGTTTGATATCAATCGGGGTTCAAATACTTTATCATCGGTTATATTGTGTCCCAATTGATGATCACTATTATTACCCCAACTGAAGACATGTCCATCAGATGTGATGGCAAATGAAGACCAATTGCAACAATAAATGAATTGTATTTTATAATTATTAGTGAAATTTATCTCATATGGTTTATTAATAATTTGATCAATAAAAAATGGGTCCAAACTATACCCAATTTGCCCCCAATTATTCCAACCCCAACCAAATACGCGGCCATCACTTGTGAGGGTCAGTGTATGATGAGAACCACAACTGATTTGCTCAATGTTTTTATCATCGAAATATGATATTAACTCTGGCTTCAAATAATCAAACCTGTTTGTCTTACCCCGACCCAATTGTCCATGGTTATTACATCCAAACCCATATATAACACTTATATTATTCAATGCTAACACAAAATCACATCCATTGACAAAGTATTGTATGTTTTGATTACATAATTCCGGTATTATTTCTGGTGATAGTATAGGACTGTTGTGTCCAAAACCCAGACATCCATATATATTGTTACCAAAACCATAAACAATATCATTTTTTGTAACAAATAATACATTATAATCTTTACATAAATCAGTAAAAACATGTAATTTTGTAATAGTTTCTTTAATATTTGTCGGAATATTATCACAAATTTTAAATTTTTTAAATAGGTCACACATTTTTACAACAATAATAACTATTAATAAATAAAAACTTAATTATTGTATATAATTTTTGAAAATTAATATAATAAATAATATTGTCTTTGTTTAAATTAAAATCTCTGTTATATTAGTTGTATTAATAAACTTTTCAATACAACCTTTTGATAGAAAATGTTATAATCAATTAAAGCGAATAGAAATAAAACAAAGAATTTCATACAATATAAATATGTGATAATAACTATAGATTATTGATAAACTATTATATAATATTTTTAAATGTCACTAAATGTTAATTTGTTGTAAAGTATACTTTATAATAAACATAAATAATTATCATTAATATTTTGTTTTGTATTATTGTATTAAATCTTATTATATGGTAATTTTTTTAAATCCAAAAATAAATCAGGCCATTAATCATAATCATATTATTAAAACTTTAATTTTCAAATATCAATTACGTAATAACTAGTTTTAACGTTTAACAAACTTTTAACAATAAAAGTGCATTTTAAAATCAATCGAGATTATCATCATCAATATAACTGGAATTAAAGTTATTCAATTGTTTGTCACAAATCTTTTTGGATTTACTGCGTGAATGTTTCAGTCCTTTGGTTATCAGGTTTTGGTCTCTTACTATTTCTTTGAAATAATTATAAATAAATTTATAATCAATTGATTTTGCGTTAAATATAGGGATTCGCCACAGAATTGCACTTTTCATCCGTGAGATTATATTAGCGTTTATTTCAATTGGATTTTCACCAAAAATATCATTGAATTCATTCATTATATCCTTTATATCTGTTTTATGTAAATTCGAGGGTTTATTCAATTTAGTAATAAATCCATGGATTTGATCGACATTTACATCAAAAGTATCTAAAATATATGACTTGTAATCAATGTCTTTATAACCATTCCTAAAAGAGTTATTTAAAGTTTAAGTTAGATTATATGCTTGTTATTAAAATATGTAAAATATTCATACTTAATATGTATTAATTGTGAGTCAAACAAACTCTTGAAAATTTGTCCGATTTTATAGATATAAAGGGATTCAAGAGTTGTTGAATTGCTGTATATGTTTCGATAGTCATGTAAATATAATTTCATATAATTTTCACAATTTGTAAAATCATTTGTAATGAATATATGTTTAGCATCGAGTGATATGTTGGCGATATTTATATTCAAATCAATTAATGTTTGAATACAATGTAATATTTGCCTCAATAACTGCTGTGAAATGAGAAAATCAATTGAAATCATTGCCAACGAGTGATGGGTTTGTGTCCCAAATATGACGTGTTTTGCATTTATGACATCCCATAGAGTTTGCGAACAATACTCTGATTGAATGTAAATCTCTTTATTTTCAATCCAAGAGTTGTATATTTGTAGCAAATATTGAGATTTTAATGTGAATACTTTCCGTATATTTACCACAAGCTTCTTTAGCGGTGTGTCATCTATAATATAAATTAATATTGTATCATGAACAATTAAATAAAGCTCGTACATTAATTGTGCATGTTAATGATTTAATTAATATTTAATAATTTTAACTAAAAATAATATACAACTCAACACTGAGGCACTTACCGTACGGATCAGATTTGCTAATGTAATAGAGCTTATTGTTGAGAATATTCTTTACTTTAATAAATCGTCTAAAATCGTACATATTATTCAATTCATCAAGCTTATTTTCAAAGAATGTAAATGCTTGGTTCATAACTAAAATAAAAATTTATTAAGTATTACATAAATAATAAATGATATATAATAAATTAATGAATTATTCTAGATTATAACATTATTTAATACTAACTTGGTGATTCATAATAGTTATTATCAAGTGGATTATCAATTGAATCGCAATCTCTCATGACTTCTATAATATATGAGTTAAACATTAATGTTTTGTATCAAAGAATTAATATTGAAACAAATTTGATTTACCATTATTTTCACCATATGTTTAGCAAATAATACACTTTTTATGACAGAGAATAAAATATTCAAAAAATAGTCTAAATTTCTTTTCAATTATATTATTAAATATTAAATCATTGCTTTCGACAATCGGTTCAATCAATAAATCCTGTAATTTGTTTAAAATTACTCCACATTCAGGCCTTTGTTTCCATATATTGTTAATCTCTTCGCAATTCTCTGTATATATACTAACACTCATTGATAGCAATAATCCGTATATTTCTGACAATTTATTCTTCAGATTTAAATTATTATTAATTTTTATATTGAAATCAAATCTAAAAATAAAATATTCAAATATAATATGTATTATTGTATTAATAATAACATACACTCCGTCTCTGATATCGTCGGAATCGAAACCAAATATTTTCGCTCCAATGAGTGCCAGACTATAGACATCTATTAAGTGGTTATAATCGGTGCCAAACTGTGCTTCGGGTGCCATATATAGGGCCACATCTGCGGTGTGTTTAGCATTACTTTGATTGTATGCATCACTTAATATTTTCACTTCTTTAGACAAACCGAAGTCACATAACTTTATAAATCGGTGTCTATTCCAGAGAGTATTGTTTGCAATCAACACGTTATCGGGTTTGAGGTCTCTGTGAATGATATTATTTTTATGCAAATAATAATAATAATTTTTATTTTGCATTAAGCGATGAAATACATAACATGTTGTATTCATTTCAAAATATAATTCAATTGATTTACAAAAAGTTTATAATTATTTTCATTA